GGATTCATTGCACTTGAAATCGTGCGGCGGGCGCGGGCACAGGCCGACGTCAGCATTCTTCCTCCTCTCGCGGTTTTTGATTTTAGGGTTTCTTCGAGTGCTCAAAGCTTTTGTCATAGCGTAATGATTGACGCAAGGGAGTGAGCCCTGTTCTAGAAGATCTCTAGACCCTATAAGCTGGATCTTGAAAGGCGTTCCGGCCATTTCCACACATACGACGACAAAGGGACCAAATCGGATTTATCCAACCATAGGGTGGAAGGATTGGAAGAAGAAGACGGCAACAAGGATGTTTGGATTGGATCTTCTTTTCTTCGCGACACGAGAGGTCCACACGGAATGTGGGTGCGCCATGATCGGCCACCACCCACGATCCAACGCCCAGAGACCGCGACACGTGGACGCCCACATCTCGCCAGCTTTGGACTCGCATGGGTTTTGGCCTCGACTTCCACCGACGATCATTCCTCCTGCTGGGAATCATACCAAAAAAATGAGAGAGCTTTGAGGATTCCAAGACCGCAAATTCGCTTGTTTATGATCTACGGCAGTGTGTTGTTTGTTCTTCTTGTTGACACAAAGGAGAGATTCACTGCGCTGTGCTCCTCCTCTCGATCGATCCCTAAGTTTGTCATCTACCTCAACCTGGAAAACTACAAATTTCGGGAGCTTCCCTTGTCCCAATGCCGCGGGGATAAATTCGGTGCTTGGCTGGTTGGTTGGCGAGGATTGTAATCTCTGTGCTCTGTTACAACATCACACTGAAAATATTGTCTGTGAAATGAGTAAACCCAGAGAATCTTACCCTTGACCCAGCCATTCCACACCAGACGCGTGCTCTTTTACCACGGGGGGAAGGAAAAGTCAAAACCCGTCAGTGAGCGTCACGGGGACGTCACTTCACGTGCGAGCTCCAATCTTTGGAAATTTTAGCTGTTTGATCGCTCACAAAGTTAAGGTGCCCGAGTCCCAAACAAAAGCCTCGCATTCGCGTTATAATAAGCGAAGATCTCCAACATTAAATCGTTGTGTGGGTTTTAGGGTTCTTGCTTGGCAGGTGGTCAAGACAAAGCATTGGAAGGAAGAAACACTGTCCCTGTCATGCAACTAGAATATTAAGGCAATGTGACAAGGAAGAAAAATAATAGAGGGGCCTTATGTAATATCTGCCACGGGACCAGCCAGTTGTTGTTGTTGACAAAAAATATAAGCGTAGTTTTCCTTTCCAAGGTTTGAAATATTTTGGCATTGTCTCTCGCTAACTTGGAGCTTTGGCATTGTTAAAAATTTTCCAGATCAATCACGGGCTAGTGGGTGCCGCTGATGCCCGCGCACACAAAGTCCTTTTGTCCTAAATTTGCCCGGTCGCAAAAGCAACGACACAATCTAAGTCACTCTGGCCTGGGCTCTCGAGACTTTCAAAGGAGCTTGACCACCCCTCTCAAGCTCAAAGCTTAATCTATGCGTTTGTGTTTTTCCTTGTGCTTGGATGGTGTGATCCAGATGTAAGATCACAGCTTAGGGAATGGCGTGACAAGCTATCTCTCTTTCTCTCGCGCGCAAATGCCTTGTACAGGGAATCGCATCCGTTATAACGTAGTTTACTGCCTCAAATATTCCAATGGATGATAGGTACTCGAAGACACGGAATCCCTGCTTTGCTTTTCCACCACTGTTTGGATTGTCATTCCAAAAGGCGGGAGCACAATATATTCCTGCAATTTCCAGCATATATAAGGGATGCTGATACTACTCATCTCCGCCCATCATTCCTCCTGGCTTTGCAACTTTGGTTCCAAACAGCTTGCTTGCTAACAAGCAACACTTAGTTTATACACACAGCATTGTTTGTAGCTGCCGCATTTTCTAAGGCTCTAAACTCCACGCGAGAGCTTTTGCTTCCTTGATCCTTGACAAAACCACGCGTCTCTAACTTAATCCAAAAGCCCAAGCGAGAGAGGCGGCCCACCATCGCCAAGCTCATACATCCCGCCCTCACAAAGCCCCCAAAGTTGACAAATTGCGCTGCGAAACCATCTGGATGCACTGGAGACCTCAGCTTCACGTCAGGCATCAAGCGCCGAGGCAAGTTGCTTGCGTTGCTTGCGACTTCCCCTCCCGTATTATCTGTTATTATTAAAACCCTCTCCTCATAGCAATGCCGCTGCCACCCTGCCCGTGATGTCACTCACACACTCTTGCATTCACTAGTTTTAGGCAAGGGGAAAAGAAAACCAAGCACCCAAATCCACAATCCTTTCCTCCAGGACCTCCAGGACGCTAATCTAGTTATAAGCTACGTAAAAAACATCTCCTCCTCTCTCTCTCTCTCTCTCTCTCTCGCTCAGAGGCGCCATAGCATGGCAGTAGCAGTAAGTGTGTGCAGGTCGTACGCACGGGGCGAGGGAGTGAAGCGAATTGCGTCACCCGGTACGGGCAATGGGCCGGTTTCGTTATCATTGCTCTCTAATGGGTGCGTAGTAGCATACATATATATAAATATAGGGAAGGGGAGGTCTCCTGTGACGCAAGAGCAAATCTAAGGCCAGATTTTGGAGATTTGGTCCTTTTGTGCAATGGAGCAGCAGCGGCAGTGGAGCAGTGTCCAGCAGTGGAGCTGCAGTAGTGACACTGATCGATCAGTCGAGAGCACAGTGCTACTGGAGAACTGAAGAGAGAGAGAGAGAGAGAGATAAGAGGTGAGTGTGTGTGTGGTTTCTTTCTCTTGCTCGAGGGCGACCACTGCTGTGAGAGCCCTGCTGCGCAAGCGAATGCCAATGGCTGGCGCTGGCTTGGGTCTTCCTGTGAGTGAGTGGACGGGCTGACTATAAAGTACTGTGGTGAAAGCTCTTTGCTCGCTCTCTCTCCCCGTTCCTTTCGGTTTGCATCGGTGTCTGGTCCTTTCGATTTCAACCCATCCAGGAGGATCAAATTGTCCACAATTGGGTGTTGTCTCTGGATTTAGTTTAGCTCTTGGCTAATTGCAAGCAAGCAAGCAATGTACTGCCATTTAAACACCCACATTTGTGGTGATGGGTGATTTTGTGATTGTCTTTGCATACGACACTTGCAAGTACGCAAAACTTTTGATGGCGATTTTGGATGTTACTATATGGCGTGGCGCGAACCTAAGTGTCAACTTTGTAGGGCACTTTGGCCGGTCAAACAACGCTGCTAATAGTATACAAAGCATATACTATTCATGCATGTCCGCATTAAATAAAATAACTCGTGGTAGGGGTCACATGTCGTGATGATTCCACCTTATAGTAACACCGCGGCGTGCCATATTCGCCCAGATTATTCCTCCTGCCGCCTTGACCCTTGACAAATCAAGGGCTTGTAGCAGCGCTTCTTGCGTTTGAAGCCATCCATGGAACGAGAGGTCTTTTGTTTACACTCTCTTTCCTGCCTGCCCGTGAGTCTGTGTGTTTGTGTCAAATCTTTCTTTTGTACTCCACCAGGCCACAGCGAATTGTTTTATATGCCAAGCGTCCATAGATCTCTTCCCTCCCTCCATGCCAGAAGACCAAACAAAGAAAAACTTACTTGACCATGTCAAATCAAATCACCACCACCACCACCACCACCACCACCCAGATTTTACCGTGTTGTCTTGTTAGGCAGCCGTGGAATCCACCTCCAAGACTCTCTATAGTGTGAACGAGACGCAACCGCCATAGACAATAGTACATACTGCCCAAATGCACATGGATTGTGTCAAGGTTTACAAAAATCAATCGACGTCGTGGCATTAAGGTTTGGAAAATCCAGGATCCACGGGCGCTCCGCCGGACGTGTGGCGCGCATCCGGGGCGTCGAAAGGCGGCGGCCACAGGCCGTTGGATGCACCGGCGGGCGTCGCCGCCGGGTGGGTCTTGTCGGCATTTATGGTACGGTCGGCCAGTAGATTTTCTCAATCACCGAGGGCAGGGGGCGGGCTTGTTTTTTCTTTTACCCAACGCTGGCTGGTGGTCTGGGCTCTTGGCTTGGAACCGTTTGGAGGGTGAAAGAAAAAGTAAAAGTGAATGCCCCGCTGCTAGTCAAAGTACGAGTACGGAACAACAATCACGGCGTGCAGCAGGCGGGGGTGACGCCAGCCTCGGTACACTCATTAAGTAAAAGCATAGGGATATAAAAAAAAATGACGTTGTTTTCTCCTTTATTTTGCTTTGAGCAGGGGATTTCTTTTTTACCCTTTTGTATTTGCCAGCAGGTAAAAAGTATTAATGCAAAATCGGGCCCGGATCCAGTGGACGGGAGTGGCGGTCTTTTCGAGCGTGGCCGGTTGACACGTCATGCTTGATTGAACAGGGTTGCCAATTCAGGAAAGGTGGCAACGGGGTCGGCCCTCCGTCGCGATGGAACGGCGCGAAACGTTGCCTAAAAAGGAAACACGCACGCACTACGAGAGGGGTATATGTTTGGGTATATGGGTGTGTGAGAGACATGGAAGACGAGCAAAGCAAATATAGTCCCCAACGCCGGACTGTCAGGGAAGGGGGCGGTATCTCTTTTGCTTGGGCGAATGCCGCAAAAGGGGACGAGTGTTTGCTTTTGGAAATTGCTTTCTTGGAGCATCATCCACTAGCCCGCGTCTCCTTTGAATTCAATCGCTATGAGGGGGTTTTAGGGCTTGGGTTTAGGGTTTATAGGGGGGTTTTGTTAGCGTGCTAATACGCCAGCCCACATGTCGCTCTGTCTGCTGCCTGTCGTGCATTCTCTGTGTGCCTGTCGTCTCGGGGCCGGGGAAGCGCCGTGACAGTGACCTCGTATTTTATGACATGTGCATGGGGTGTGCAATGGCTTTCTTGACCGGCGACCGGGGTTAGCGGGCGCTTAAGCAGCTGTTAAGCTAAAGGGGGCTCACGACCACGTTAAAGGTGTGTTAGTTAAGCCCGGGATATTTAGCAAACACGGCAGTGACAAAGATGTTAAAAACAAGCGAACAAGATGACAACAAGGCGAGTTTGTTAGATCCATCTGTCAATGTAGTAGATCACGAATGATTATATTTGAGAGGATCAAAGAAAACTCGGGAGAAGAAAGAGGCACTGAGATTTAGATCTCCTTCTTCTGCTTCTTTCACTCTTGGTCTTGAGCTGGAGCCTGAGCTCGAGCTCGCTAAGGTTTTCTATCATCCCCAACATTGGAGCAATGGAACTTGGGGCGCGATTAAAAATGTCGCGCATGGATCGATGCAAAGGGGGCCAAGGTGTGGGAGAAAAAGAGGGAGATAAAAAGGGCTGGGGTCCGTATGGGGCTCGAGAGAGCGTAGCCGTGTGACCGGACCAAAGACATCGTCCTGGGAGAGCGATATATATACCTCGCTGTGTTGTTTTGTGTGAGAGATAGATAGTGTGTGTGGATTTGTGTGTTCAAGGCTCAATGTTGCTTCGCTCCTGGGCTCGCAACAGTGGCGTCTCCTTCTTCCCGGCCAGGAGAGGCGAGAGCTTTTAGAGACCAAGATCTCACCAAGATCAAAGTAAGTAACTTATTAAGGATCTCGCTCTCTCATCGTTTTCTCAATCTTCCCTTCCCTTCTCCTCTTAAACAGCGAAGGGTTCACGTAAATAAGCACAAGAGAGAGAGAGAGAGAGAGAGAGGAGAGGAAGGAGAGAACGAGGAGGAGAAGAGCTCTCTCTTTCTTTTGGGGAAAGCTGAAAGGATCTCATAGAACTCTGTGTTTGTGGGCGGCGGCGCTCGGTGGAAAGCGCTTCGTGGTTGGCTGGTCTTTCAGTGTTCTCTTTCTCGTCGTTGCGCGAGCGTGAGCGCTGAGCTCTGAGTAATGAGACGAGGGAGTGAGTGAGTGAGTGCGCGCTGTACTTGGCTGTCACTGCTGCCAAAAGAAATCCCATCGCTCCCGTCTTCCTCTTCCTTCGTTCCTCGCCTCATCTCGCTCGTCCGGAGGGTACTCTCTCGCCATTCGACTTGTTTGTGGTCTTGTGTTGTTTTGCTTCCCCATGTACATGTCTTGTTCCTGCTGCCTCTTCGCCTTTGGGTCTCGTAACATTCTTCTCAAAATCTAGCGCGCGAGATTGCGAGAGAGAGTTCGCTTCTGAGCACTCTCTGAAAAGCTCCTCTCTACTAGATTAGCTATGGTCTAGGCTGCTCGAAATCTTTTCTCTAGTTTTCTTCGTGGTTTTTTCTTGGGTTTTAGGAAGAGATCCAAATCCAAATCCCAAGCTTGTCTCTTGTTTTCGTGTTGATCCAACATCAATGATGAGCACACCGGTACTAGTGCGTTGCTTCTCTCAAATGCGAGCACGCGAAGATCAGGGAGCCGTCTAGACAACAAAGAGCACCTGTAACAGCAGTGCTACTGGAAGATATGATCGGCGGCGGGCGATAGTTAATGGGCTCCGAGACCTCTCTTTCCTGGTGATCATCTAGGACTTCAGAACTTCTTCTCTCTTTTGGGCGAGGAAGAGAGAGAAGAGCGATGAGGTCTTCCGCTAGTAACAGTAATTGGCTCGGCTTCTCTCTCTCGCCACATCTCCCTTCTTTCGAGCAGCAGCAAGCTCCCTCGTCCATCGGCGACGCCAAGCTCGGTGGTGGCGGTGATCATCTCCAGGGCAGCAGCGCCGCCACCGCGGACTACCAGCAGCAGCAGCAGCAGCAGCAGCTGGGCAGCAGTGATCAGTCGCCTCATCACCACCACCATCACGAGCTCCAGATGCAGCAGCCGCAGCTCGCCACGGACGGCTCGCTTTGCATCATGGAAGCGTTCGAGCAGCGGAGATCCAGTAGCGATCAAGGTTTGTTTGTTTTTTCTTGGCTCACTCTTCGTCTTCCTCCTGGCAAAGCTTCTTCGCGGTCAAGTCTGGCATCTGCATTGCCACTGCCTCTCTTTTCTTTTCCTTTTTCCCTTCTCCTTTGTTTGCGTCTGGCAGTAGAATTATTACAACTTATTGTTCTTCGTCCTCCTCGAGTTTCCATCCCCCATGGCTTCTCACCCGGTGTTCTTCGCAGATCAATGGCACAAATATGCAGGAATGAGCGCGAGCATGCATCCCCAAGTCTACGACTACTCGCGGCTGGGCTTAGAGCCAGCGCAAGCGCAGCAGCACCACCACCACCAGCAACAGCAGCAAATCCACCACCACTACGAGAACCTCCTCCGCCCAAAGCCCGAGCACGAAGCTCCCAAGCTGGCGGACTTCCTGGGCGGTGGCTCGTCCCTGGGTGGCGGCGGCGGCCAGTACTCGAGCCGGGACTCCTCCAACACCAGCCCGGGAGTAGCGAATCTCTTCTACGGTGGTGGTGGCGGCGGAGGCGGCCACCAGCAGCAGCAGCAGCACCACCAGATTGGCCACCACCATTCCGGAGCTCCCTTCTCAGCGACGCCGCGGCACCAACACGATCACGCCGCGGAGATCAATGTCAATCTCCCGTATTACAACCTCTACGGTGGTGGCCTCGCGGAGGCCACCGGCGAGGGGGGATTCGATCACCACTCGCACCAATCGCGGCACAGCGAATTCGAGCAGCACAGCCAGCAGCAGGCGGACGACAATCTCTGCTCCACGATCTCGTCGCTTCATTCCCACTCTAGCCAGCTCGTCGCGGGGCAGGAGATGGATCACCACGGCCACGCGCAGCACCACCACGGCCACCAGGAGGCCAGCAGCAGCCTCTTCTCGGACTGCAGCCTGCAGCTCCCCCATAGCTCGAGCAACGCTAGCAATGGCGGGAATATGCTGGGGATATCCGCGCTCAAGACTTGGCTCCGCCAGCACCAGCAAGGATCCTCTCCTCCCGGCGGCGATCATCAGCTCGCAACCAAGGCCACCATCGCCCCCGCCATCGCCGCCAATCCGGGCGCCGCCAAGAGCACCGCCACCGGAGGCGCATCCGGAGAGTTTAGCGCGCTGGCGAATTTGCAGTCCTTGACGCTGTCCATGAGCCCCGGCTCGCAGTCCAGCACCGCCGCCGCCGCTCCATCGCAGGTCGCGGCTGCCGATCATCACAGTCCTTGCAACGCTGCTGGAGCGAATCTCTGCTGCTCCACTACCTCCGCGCTCGTCACCAGTGCGGCCGCCGCCACCGCTGCCGCTGTCGCTCCCAGCGATCCGGTTTCCAGCGACCAGCCGCCCAAGAAGAGGCCCAAGGCCGGTGGCAAGGAGCCGTCTCCCAGGAAATCCATCGACACCTTCGGACAGAGAACGTCAATCTATCGAGGCGTTACAAGGTACGTGATCGACAACTTTTGATCGATATATGGAGGAACCATAGCTAGACTAATCACGGGTTTGATGGAGCAGGCATCGCTGGACTGGACGTTACGAGGCACATCTGTGGGACAATAGTTGTCGAAAGGAGGGCCAGACCAGGAAAGGGAGGCAAGGTATGTTCATTGTTGATCATTCGATACAAAGTTCCGCGAGCTGACCGCTCTCTCTTTTGCTTTTTTGCTTTTTCGTATACGTGGTGGTGGACGCAACTTCGTTGGATCGATCAATGCGCAGTTTACCTGGGTGAGTGTCACTCTTTGTTGTTCGTGCTTGAAGTGTTTTTTCGTTCCTCATTTAATGTTTCTTGCCGGGAATGAATGCGCAGGGGGTTATGACAAGGAAGAGAAAGCAGCGCGAGCGTATGATCTGGCGGCGCTCAAGTATTGGGGACCTACGACCACCATCAACTTTCCTGTGAGATTCCTTCCTCTTGTATTATTCATGAACTCACAAGACCGTGTGTAAACTACGTTTTGATTGGCATCAGCTAAGTGACTATGAAAAGGAGCTAGAGGAGATGAAACACATGACACGGCAGGAGTTTGTGGCTTCCCTTAGAAGGTATTTCAGTCGTTCCCCAGCTTGCCTCCCAAGATTTCTTCGCTGAAAAATGTGTGTTCGCAGGAAAAGTAGTGGGTTTTCTAGAGGAGCATCGATTTACAGGGGAGTGACGAGGTAAGCGTGGCGTGAATCCTTCTACTTCGCGATTCCTAACAAGCTTTAAATCATGCAGACACCATCAACAAGGACGCTGGCAAGCCCGGATTGGAAGAGTAGCCGGCAACAAAGATCTTTACCTCGGAACTTTCAGTAAGTTCTCAGTTGTTTAAAGCAATGCAATGCCTCGCTCGGTCTGATCTTGTTTAAACCAACCAGGCACGCAAGAGGAAGCCGCGGAAGCATACGACATCGCCGCGATCAAGTTCCGGGGCATCAACGCGGTCACCAACTTCGACATCAGCCGCTACGACCTCAAGAAGATCTGCTCGAGCCCGAGCTTGCTCCTGGGCGAGACCGCCAAGAGGTACAAGGACAGCGACTCCGGAGTGGATCAGAGCCAGCAGCAGATCATTCGAACCTCGGACGAGGACGTGGTACTTGTGCGCGGCAGCAGCGCCAGTGCTAGCCAGCTCCGATCGAGCAGCAGCCACGGCGGCCAGCAGCTCATCCCCAAGCCGGAGCAGGACTGGCAGCTGCTCTACAATCCATCGGGAGCGCAGGAGGTGGTCCATCCCCTCAGCGGGAGCTACCACCACCACCAGCCGATCATCCAGCAGTCGCCAAGCATGCAGCACGCGGTGCTGAGGAATCTCATCGGCCTGGACGCGCTCCCCAGCGGCGACCAGGGCGGCAGCCACATCTTCTCGGGCGGCGCCGCGCTGGGCGGGCAATCCACCTCCACGAGCACGCTCATGAGCAACTCGGTCTACTCGAGCGACAGCCCAAAGCCGTCGGTGGGCGAGAACGAGGAGCCCAATCCCGGCAAGAACCACTCGTCCAGCTCCTACGATCAGGGAGGCGCAATCGTTGGTGGTGGTGGGGATCTCAGCAGCCGCGGTGGCGGCTACTGGATGAGCAGCAAGCCAAGCAGCTACGACATGGGATCGATCGTGACGCCCGTGCAGCAGGCCTTGAATGGGAGGGCGCTGGCGGCGGCCGGGCATCACCACATGCCCATTTTTTCAGTCTGGACCGAGAACTAGCAGAGGTCTCGCGCTCCAAGCCCTAAAATTTGAATTCAAAATTTCAAATTTAACTTTTCGCGCGAAATGGGAGTGTTATGTTATTAAAGTTTAGGGCTTTCCCCAGCGACACGTGCCTCGAACGTGTCACCACCGCGATACTCCACCGCTGCGATGCTCCACCTCTCTCGACGCATCCTATGCTGCTAGGGTTCTTTTCCATCGCGACAAGAGCTCCCATCTCGCCAGCGATCGATTTTTCTCCGCGAGATTACCGCTAGCGTTTGCGAATCATCACTCCTCTGTTTTTCTCTCTCCTTGTTCTAGCTCCCGGGAGAGAATTTTGCGGCTTCTGGGATCCACAATCCCCTCCATCCCTCCCTCCCTCCATCGAGTAAGCGGTCAAGCGCGCGAGGATCATGTCGGGCTCCACGCTAGCGGCGGGGTCGAGAATGGCCACCGAGGGCAGAGCTCACGGCGATATGAAGGAGCGCGTCCAGGAATCGGGCACGCTGGGTGGGGTGATGGGATCGCTCCGCGTCATCGAGCTCCAGCTCGTGGCCTTCATCATCGTCTTCTCGGCCAGCGGGTTAGTCCCCCTCTTGGATCTTGCATTCCCCGTTTTTGCATCCTTGTACGCGTTCTTCCTGGGATCGGTGGTGTTCCCAAACTACCACAAGCACAGGAGCGCCGCGCCCGAGGTGTTCAAGGGGAACCGCCTCTTCCAGCTCTACGTGATCTTGGGGACGCTGATGGGCTTGTTCTTGCCGCTGGCCTACGTTCTAGGGGGATTTGCAAGGGGTGACCAGGCGTCCGTGCGAGCCGCCACCCCACACCTCTTTTTGCTCTCGGTCCAGATCCTCAGCGAGAACTTGATCAGTGGGCTTGCGCTCTTCAGCCTCCCGGTGCGAGCTCTCCTGCCGATCCTCTACACTGCTCGCCGGCTCATTGCCTTGTCTTCGTGGGTGCACATCACCTTGACGATGACTATACCACCTCAACATGATTTCCGGGTATGGGAGTTCTCTATCGTTTTTTCCTTTGTTTCTTTTTTTGGCTTTTCTTGTTGTAAGAGATGGCATGACACTCTTTGCTCTTTTGCATGGAATGAATCCCCAGAAAGCTGCGTGGGTGTGGTTTGGACGGAGTTTAGCCATCGGCAACTTAATGTACTACTCCATCAATCTGCTGGGATTTTTGATCCCCCTGTTTTTGCCTAGAGCTTTCGAGCGCTACTTTCAGGACAGGGACGAGTACTACAAGGAGAAGGAGCAATCGTCCGCCACTGCTGCTACTAAGGGGCCCGAGAAGAAGGCGCAGTAGAGAGCAGAAATGGAAATAACCTTGGTCAGTGGTGCTTCTCTCCTTTGTTTTTTTTACTTCTGCCTCCCTCTTCCTCTCTCCCTCTCGCTCTTGTCCTCGCACATTTGTGTAAAATGTTTGATTCTGAATAGAACACGTAGCCGCGTGTCCATGTCTCCAATTGTATGGCGTTTGGGCAACACTTGGTTGGCAACATATGTTTGCCAGTCATATTTTTTGCACAGGCAACAGAAGACACCTTGTATTGTCTGTCTTCTTTCAGTAGACTTCTTCCTGAATTACCGAATTACCTTTGCTGAGGATCACTGTTGACCATGATATTTGATGATAATTGACATGAGTGTGTCCAATGCTTCTAACACACAACAAAAAGCCAAGTTGACACACTGCTTGTTTGGGGACGCTCTTGGATCCAAGTCAGGCGCAAAAAGGGCACAATAAACCGACTTCACCGTTTGGAACAGCACCATTTTTTCACCAACAGCTGCTAGCCAAAGCCGAGCTGAAGATCAGTGTGTTGGGATGTAGACGATAAACCGCCGGTGATTACCAACATAAAGGCTCCACAAAGTTCAGATCCCAATCAACGAATTCCCTCCAGATGCATTCCTTCAAGGGCGAGAAAAGGCATCACGACGGTGTGCATCTGCAAAACTAGTGCGTCATTTCGTAGAGGCTTTGCTTTCCTCTCTTATGATTCCACGATCCTTTGTAAAGGATCGACTGTGACTGCCTACGGGCATTGAGGAGGACGAACAAGAACATCAACAGTTTACGATGACATGACCATACCTGGGCACAAAGCAATCCAGGCATGAAAGACCACGTCCAGAACATAATGTGCCAGTCATCTAATCCAGTACGAGAGCAGTCGAGAGTGACTGTGTCCAGAATAGTCGGTTAGAAAACCACTTGTTTAATTGCTTCTCCCATTACCTTGCATAATTGTAATCCATCGGCAGTCTAGCTCCAGTAATATTATAATACAATACTTAACTATACATTCTCGATTGTAAATAATTATAATTATTCTTTGAAATATGTTAAATTGTTTTCTTAGTTAACAATGGAGGGGCATAATTTGGGTTTAGGTGTTTTCATTCATATAAGATTTTATTTTGGTATTTCAAACTTGTATATATATATATATATATATATATATATATATATAACCCTAACTAGGTAATATACTAATTATAGTATTATAACATATAAACCGTTTATTTGGGATTGAATCTGGTCCATCCATTTTTGTATATAAATAGGGGTCTAAAACCTTAATTAATATACTACTCATATTAGTGTTCATTGGTGGTAGTAGGCATTGGAATTTGTTCTTGAAGGGCAAAGTTTTTTGGCAATGCTTTGCTCTAATATTCAAGATTGTGCTTGTTGTGAATGTAATTATGGGTATCAAAAGTTACATGTTGATTAGTCCTTTCAAATACTTTTTCTTTACTACCATGACGGTAAAAAGTTGATATTGCTAGACCCTTTATTAATCCCTCTTGTTCAAGTGTTAATAAATTTCACTTAGCATCTATACTTGGCTAGACAAACATAAAGAAGGAATTCTTAAGTATTTATTTAGCCAACTATACCTAACTTACCTTGTTAGTTATCTTTTACCTTGTTTTGCATTGGCTTGACAAAAACCTAAATTGGTCCTTTAATATTTGCTAGATGATAATTCACCATGTTTGCCAAGCATTTTCGCTATCATGCCTTTTATATTAAACTTATTTGGTCCCAATTGTTATTTATGAAAAGAGTGTAGATTTGCTGATTTGACATAATTTAGAACATGACAAATAAAATAAAAAGAAAGCTAACCAAGTTAATCTATCTGTAATAATTAGCCCAAAAACCCTAGCTTATATACAAGAGTGAGTGGTCTAGATTGAAATCAATCCCTTAAATTAGCCTCCTTAACTAAAAGCCCATAACAACAAAATATAGGTGTCCCTATACCCCTCCCCTCACCACGCCCTAGTATAGGGTTGGGACTTGAACCTAGCCTTGCTTTACTAGAGGGTTGGGACTTGAACCCAACCTCCATAGAATATGTCTATGAATTCAACGTCCCTACGGGGAGTCAGGCATAGTTCTCTACGCTTGGTCGACCTAGTTAACCCATGTTAATTAATTTACCTTTGTCACACCTTCGGATCCCAATATATGACATTGCTAAATTTCTTAAATAGATTTTTTAATTAAAATTTGCATAAATACATAGAATTCTACCTTGCAAAAATTCTTCCATTAAATCTCACGTGTTCGCTAGGTTCCTCTTCGGTTCCCATGTTACTTCACAGTGTGGAAATCTTTTCCACTTCACATGGAACTCCCTCACCTTATGTCCTTGTCGCTTGCTCTTGCGCGCATTGAGAATGGCCTTGACTTCATATTCCTCTTCCCCTTGGATAAACTCAGGTAAATGTCTTACTTGGTCCTTGCAAAGCAGATCTTCAAAATACAGCTTGAGTAAGTTCACATGGAACATAGGATGCATTTTACCCATCTCTCGAGAAAGTCAAAAGCAATAAGCCACCTTATTAATTTGAGCCTCAATCTCATAAAGCCCCACAAACTAGTTTAAGGAACTCAAGATTAGTTCATTTCCAGAAGGATGTCTTTGAAGACATGGCCAACAAGTCGTAAGATTAAAAAGAGATGTTTGATATGGGCATCGAACTTTAGTGAAGTTGTAAGGAACTAACTCCTTGGGGTGTTGTAAGCTAAAGGATCCCCGAAAGCACGACCAAAATGATAAAGAGTTCATCGGATGAGACTAAGTTCGAGATCGAGTCTGAGACCGACTCTGAGACGGAGTTCCATATCGAGTTTGAGACCGAGTCCGAGATCGAGTCCAAGACCGATTGTAAAACCGAGTTCAAGACCGAGTTCGAACCAGATTCGGAGTTCCAATTCGGTTCCAAGTTGGGTTTGGGGGTGGATTCAAAATTGGATTTTAAGTTGGGTTCGGAATTGGTTTTGGAATTGGATTCCAAGCCGGGTTCGAAATTGGGTTCCAAGTTAAATTCGGAGTTGGATTCCGAGCCGGTTTCGGAGTTTTATTCGGGTTCAGGGGGGGAAACCCAAAGCCTTGTTTTTCCCAAGGGGGGGGGGGGGGGGGGGGCTGTAGAGGGTTCCAAAAGTATAGTAGGGATAGTGAGGTCCAGGAACCAGTTTTGAAGGGACTCTCCAGTGGGGCTTCCAAACCGACTTGAGGTTGAGACTGGGACTGAGGGGCCTTGGGTGGGAGTGAGCATGGACTTAGTTGGTGCTGGAGGGGCCATCCAAGGAAGTGCTCACGAGCAGCTCCCACTCTCGAAAGGGAAACCGATTGCAGTGCTCCCGGCTCATGTGGAGTGGTGCCCCGCTTGAGTACCATGCGGCTCATTGGTCCTCGCCCTTCCTAGGGGCTTGGGCCTTCTTTCGGGATGGAAGTGGGGGGGTAGAGGTACCCATACCGGGCTGCTAGGCCACGGTGTTTCGCCCCGGCATCCCAAAGCAAGTGTTGCACTCAAGACTTGGGATTTAGAGGGTCCCATGATCAAGTCTTGTGGTACCAAGGGATGTTAGGAACCTGGAAGCTTGGTGTGCTTGGCTGCTTGTGCTTGCGGGGAGTGTAGCCGAACCTTAAGTCCAGTCTAACCCGGGGAGGGGGATTGGGAGTGATTTGGGAATCCGTGGATGGATGGTTAACACTCCGTTGCTCGTGCAGTGAGTAGCTGAAACCAAGTAGGAGCTGGTACCATAGGC